TGTGTGTGTGTGTGTGTGTGTGTTTTGGGAAGTCATCATTTTGCAAGCCACTCTGGTCCTGGTCCTTAACTTGTACATTGACAGAACTGCAACTCTTCTGGAACAAAATGGGAAAGTAAGGAAAGTGTTCAACCATCTTTGAGTGCCTAGGACTCTCTCTCTCTCTTGCTCGCGTGAACTGCTGAGAACCAAAAGAAGGGGGTTGTGAGTCTTGTGACAGACTGTTTAAACCACCACTACATCCGACAGTCGTCGCCGCATCTGTCCCGCCATCATCGCCATGTGTTGGGGCAAATGGGCCTGGGGCGCTGGCATAAATTCATTCAACTGGAAGTGTTGTGGCACTGTAGCACTGGCTCGCCGCATGCGCGCTGTGACTTCCAGAAGTTCTGGTGGTTTAAACCACTAGTACACGGCCCCAGCCTTGCAGAAAGTTTTTGTCGCCACAAGCAAAACTCGGAGGCGCCGCCCGGTCAGGCCTGCCATTGAAAAAACAAATCGGCGGCCCCCAAAGTGGTGCGGGTTTCATGCTGACACCCGCGGGCCTATATGTGGTGTACTGGTGCTTCCAAGTTTAAACCACCAGTACATTTCCGGATCATTTTTTTCGAAGTTGTGGGTTCCATGCAGTCGCAGCTTTGGGGGCTCAGCCGCCATGGCGAAACCACAGCTGAGGTACTTTTGAGGCACATTTTGGCCTGGGCTCCAAACGCCCTGCATGCCAAAAGAAAACAAATCGGCACGGGCCTCTTTTTGGCTGGTGCCGCCAGCCATTTTGCTCTGGTGGTCGAGCCCCCAAAGTCGCAGCAGCGTGCAAGCCACGACTTCGAGAAATGGCTGGGAAACGAACTGACATACCGCGAGGACATGGGCTCGCAGCCCATAATTGCCATCACTATCCGCACTGTTCCGTGCAGTGACCAGATCCTTCCCACTCATCCCCAAAGCTGTCCTCAACAGCCCAACTACACCTTCTCAGTCCGAACTAATTGACTACCACAATTCCCCTCCCCTCCCCCACTCCCCACGACATTACCCTCGAAAACTCGACTGACCACGATGTCATTCCACCTTGGATGACCACGATGTCATTCCACCTTGGAGTCCCCATTTGCTGTCCCATTGGGGGAGGGGGGAACCGGCCTAGCTCAGTTGGTACACCTCTAAACTGTTGAAATGCAGACTCAAGTTTGAATCCAGATACGTTCAGATGAAGAGTATAAGATAATTCTGGATTGCCAGGGGCCCCTCAGTTCAATGATGATATCTTGAAAAAAAAAAAAAAACTCTAAAATAAATCTGAGCCAGTGCTGGGCCGGCAACCGGCCGGTTGAGCTACCCCGGTCCAACCGGAGCCGGACCAGACCAGGGCGGGTGAACCGGGAAACCGGTTTTGAAAAAAAGTGCCCAAATATCTTCCTTTTTGTTTTTTTCTTGGGCAGATTCCGACTGCGCTCTTCAAGAGCTGTCCGAATCCGCAATAAAATTTTTAAGGTACAACATTTTTCAGGGGGCTTCGCGAGGGGGGCAGGGGGTTATCATTGACATATTCAGGCAACTACGGCTTCCTCAGGGAGGGGTCAAGTAAGCAAGTTCACTTATCCGACCCCCCCGTCGCTGGAGCACTTCGTGGAGTATGTCATTTGATATTGATACCTCACGAGCTGAACCAGATATGATGAGAGGAGGTCTTTGCCCGAAATTATAGCTCTTCCAGAGTATATTTCGACAGCAGAAAAGTTATGGTTCCAGCTTTTTTTTTTTTTTTTTTCCCCAAAGGGTGACGGTGTTGAGATATCATCATTCAGCTGGCCGGCCCCAGGCAATTCAGAA